CACATATACATATAGCCTATATATATATAGAGAGAGAGAGAGAGAATATATTGAAATAAATTAGGTAAACTATTTCAAGAGGGTTACCAATGGGTATGTTTAGGGTTGGGAGTTGGTTAGGACAATAATTAAGTGTATACAATTAACTACATAATTCCTTAAAAATAATAATATACAGAACTGAAGCAAGTGCTATAGAATAGTATGAGCTGCTAATATATACATACAAAAAATAAATAAAAATAATATAATCATTTTTAAAAACTAGCCTATAGGGTCCTAGAAATGCAGGTGTGTGCGCGGTGCACATAGAAACGCTCTATCACAGTGCGTGAGTACCGCATTGAGATGTCTTGAGCTTAAATGGCTTAAAATTACTTTAATGTTTAAACTGACAAGACTTAAAACACGTGAGAATGAAAAACTTTCTCGAGGAAGCAGCACTGGCCTGATCGTTAAGATAGTTTGGGGGGCTAAGGTGACAGATAGGGGGGGCTGAAACCCACCTAAAAAGGGTTTAGAACCGACCCTGGTATAGCGTGCGTAATTATACTGAAACTGAAACATAAATATATAACCAGTTTACCTGATTCAATGTGATGGCTGAGCCTGTTTCTGAGATAACAACATGCCAATCCGTGGTTGGATTTCCGACATGGCTAATCGTAAATCATCTTACACTGTCAATAAGCGTGACCAGAGTTGTCAGGTTTTCACAACAAAACCCGCCTAATTGCTACTCAAAACTAGCCCAAAACTACAAAACGCGGCAAGTGTTAAAGTAGCCCAATTCTGCGGGAAACCCGCGGACTTGGCAACACTGAGCGTGACTGACACTCGAGCCAACTCTGCTCTAACTGTCGACTAGCAGTTGGAGTCAGATTGCCCCCTAGTGGATGGCTAAAGATTTGTTAACTCATATTCATAAATTCTCAAGGGAACGTCTCTGAATTAACTGATGCTAGCGCCCCCCTTGACAGGAGCTGGCGCCCCCCTGGGGGCCCCTGATCTACAAGACTATTAATTAAGGGTATGTTTTTTATGCCATCAGCCCACATTTTTTCTTTAAATAATCATGGTTAGCAGTCCACTCGTAAATATGATTATTAAAATAAGTTATTTAAAGAAATAATGTGGGCTGATGGCTTCTTGGTGAAAAATATATAATTACCCATGGTTCTGCAAAGAAATCTCCATCAATCAGAGAATCACAATATATAGAATCCAGCATCTTTTAGTCAATACTTTCATATTTTGCCATCGTTTTAATTTCACTGTCATTCACAATGCTTTATGGGATTGTAGTTTTTCCCTCATTAAAGCTGTTAAGGAAAATATTCTTGTGCCTTTGTCTTTTGGTATAATTTTGCTTGTTAATTGGTTTGATTCATAGCTTATAACTGTTAAACAAAGACTTAAAAAAAAAAAAAATCCTATAAGAAAAGTTAAAGTGAAAATGCTTCCGGAAGCAAGGCTTCTGAAAAATGGCTGGCACTGTTTCACACTATTTTTGTGAGGTTGTACTTGGTAGACCTACCCATCTGTTAAACATCAAAAATGTTATTGTCTTGCAGCGCAGCAGTTCAGTGTTCAATGTGGACAGACACATAGTTTGTCACCAGATGATTCTTACCTTAAGACACTATTAACAACGTTTACAATTTTGTGTTTGTCTCAAAACGATTATTTTGTTTTTCGATCAGTTTTTTAGCACACATTATAATATTCATCTCTTGAACCTGTTGTGTGTAGAAACTAGCCACGTCCTTTCGTCCTTGTCGATGAGCTTCAGCTGCCTTGTTAAAACACTCTATCTGCTGACGTCTCTGCAGTGTTGCCTCTGTGCGGAAGTCCTCATATTCTGGATCCTCCGAATCCTGGAATTGAGCAGCTTCCACCTCCCCATCTTTCAGTTTCCATCTCTGAGTGAGTGAGACAAAAAAGCGTCAACATGGTTTTGGTTTCATTTCAGTATGCTATATGGTCATACGTAGCTCACCCGCTCTTTGCTCGGAGTTCTGTGCGCACCATTACGTTGAGGGGCAGGTTCAGGTGCCACTACGTTTTTGACTGGCCCGTCATCAAGTAGAGTATGCAAAAACTGTTCGGTCTGCTCCAGAGAGTAACTAAATAATCACAAGCAGATGGTCAAAAGACATTTCCCTTCGGGTTATTTCTGCGTTCTTAATAATTCTTTGTCTACAATTGCACAATTCTTCAGGGCATATTTTAAAAATAAAAAATAAAAAAGGCTTAGCCAAGAAACCAAGATTGGAGGAGGAAAGGAGGAGAAAATAACATTATCACAACAAAAGCACCATTATCCAACAATTCTACACATTACAATATTAATATTAATAATAATAATAATTAGTAAGCAATCCTGCCCCTTGTCAGTGGAAATTAATATTAGCTGGTTCAGTGCCAACACCTACAGTGCCAGGATAATGAAGATGAAACAAGGGTGGACATTTCAGCTAGACAATGATCTCAAACTCTCAATTGGTTTCAGAGAAATAAAATTAAGCTGCTAGAACGGCCCAGCCAATCACCTGACTTGAATCCAATAGAAAATAAGAACTAAAGATCAGAGTTCATAGAAGAGGCCCACAGAACCTTCAATATTTGAAAACTGTGTGGAAGAATGGGCCAAAATCGCACCTGAGCAATGAATGCAACTAGTTTCTACATACAGGAGGCGTCTTGAAGCTGTCATTACCAACAAAGGCTTTTGTACAAAGTATTAAATAAATTTCAGTAGCTCAATACTTTTTCCCTGTGTCATTCCATTTTACTACACAACTTAATTTCTGAACTTATTTGTTTTATTTGTATGTATATTTATATATATATATATTTATTAACAAAATATTTTAGTTTGTCTTGTATATTTTTTTCATTCGATCAGATAAGATTTTAAGCTGTCATATGGTCAAGTTACAACGTGCCCCTCAGATGTTACAATGTGTTCCACCTACGGGGCATGTTGTCACATTCCACTTCCATTTTTTGAGGGTAAATAAAGAAAAACATATAGACTGTAATTATGAAACAAAGCGACATATTTGTACTAGACAAGTGTAAAATTACTGTGGATAAAA